TGTTTTTCAATAATTTAAAATAATAAAAATAACAAAAACTATATTTTATAATTTATAAAATAATAATTAAGCTAATGAGATGATTGTTTTAAACTTCGCTTTTGAGAATGATAATTGGTGAGACAAAACTAAAGCCCTCTGTTTTTTTGACTTTGATAAAAACCGAAGTTCATTTTTTTCATTTAAATAATCAATAATAGTTGTATATAATATAAATTAACCAACTAATGTCCACTTCTATTTTCAATTCAATAATAAAAATGATTTAATTTCATAATAATTTAAGTTATTATAAAAAAAAAGATTGATAATGGTTAAAAAAACAATTACTATTGAATTATTTAATTAAAGTTATTCAATACGTTTGAAATGGCAGTTAATATAAAATTAGAACAGAAAAACTACGAAAAAAGAATATTCTAAAACAAAACTCACCAAAAAACAAAGAAAAAGCCATATCAATAGTTGGACAAATAGAATTAAATTAATTTTTATGGTATTATATTAAGTCAAAAACAGGAAATAACCGTAATATCAAGTTATTATTGAAAAAATGTTTCAAAATGATTCAACATTTAAAAAGACATTAGAAAACAATTTGAAACAAAATATTAGTAAATTTTATTGTCATGAGAATACAAATATGAATAAAATATCATATTTATTTTTTTATATTTATTATTTATTAAAAAATAATAATAAAATCAAATTATAATATAATATAATTATCCTTTTTAATATGAAATTAATTATTATTATGAATTTTATATTTATTTAATTTTTATAGTATTTTTATTTAATAATAAGTAGATAAACACATAATAATAACATAAACATTTTCTTTTTATTCAATGTATAATATTTATTACAATATTTACAATTATTATGTATCATTCATAACTATAAATTTTTAATGGTGTTTATAATGAAATATTAAAAAAGCAAATATTTACAAAGTGTTAATGTTAAATACAATAAAAATTTTATATCCCTATTTTGTGAAGTATAAAAGAGTCTGTTAAATGTTAAAATTAATAGTATATATTATAATTAACCCAAATGGTGTTATGTACTGTTTTGTTAGTTTTTTAATACATTTTTTTTACAGAACCCTGTTTTGGATATATTGATTTGATTTTACATTATTATACTAATCTCAAAATTTAAAGACTGCACCTTTCGTTTAAAATACATTTCTTCGCTTAATTGATAATTAAATTATGTTTATAACAACTACCAACCTATTGGAACGGGAAGTGGTTGATGATATACAAACAATGCAAATAGAATATTTTAACGCCTAAATGAGAAAAAAATAACTTGATTTTTTATTTTATTTTTAATAACATTTGCATAAAATCAAAAATTAAACCGTTAGTTTTACACTTGTTAATTTTTTGTACAACAAACTATGTTTGTAATTTTGTGTTTTGCATTCTTATTTTTATTGCACTTGAATAATATCCGAAAATAGCAAATTATTTGTATTTTTGAGATATAACGTTTAAACTTCATCAGCAAATTTTTAAATTGTTTATTGTCTATTAAAAGTACCAAATATTCACCATTTTGAAGAGAACAAACAATGTAAATAGTTTACACTTTCTGTTATTATATTTTTATTATTATTTAGGGTTTCACTTCCGTTTAACTGGATATCTAATTTCTAAAATGAAAAAACTTGAGCGGAATTATACAAAGAATAATACATTTCATTTTTTTGAATGTTTAAACTTTTTTCTGCCTGTTTTTTAGTGAAAAATAATAATAATTTAAAAAAAATAATCTAAAAGGGGGGTTTTCGCTTTTTAGTTCAAAAAATAACTTGTTTGATTGGCGCTCTTTTATTGTCGTTTAAATAATTACTTCAGCCCAACTTGATAACAGCTTTTTCGCTTTTTGAGTAACCATTTTTCTCAAAAAGAGCTGTTTTTGAACCATTAAGCCAATTTATCTTTAAAATGATTGTTCTTCTTCAAATCAAATCACCCAAAATTCATGGCTCAAATCATTCAAATAAATTTATTCATCAAAAAACTTTCGTTAGTGAATGGTCTGTTCGGCATTTTTTCTTTATTGTTCCAAAAACTTGCCAATTAAATATATTTTCCAACCTTTTTGGTTGGTTATAAAAGCAATTGCACTTTTTGTTTATCAAGTGTTTTGAATTGTCCCTTAGTTCCCAAACTACCGGGGTTTCGCAAATTGGTTTTCCCTCTTTTTCACCAAGTTTAGCCTCATTCATAATCAAAGTACCATATTTGTATTTATAATTAAATGTCACTTATGGTACATTAAACAATAACAATAATACTCTTGAAATAATTACGTGAGTTGCTCTACTTGTTTAGTCGGTGCTGATCATTCAAAGGAAGATTGTTAAAGAGTTTTGTATTTCTGGAGGTTAGTCGCTTGAAAACTTTATATATATCAAAATAACTTGTTTTATGATTCGACTTTAGCAAATTTTTTGAATAATTTCTATCTTTCATTTTATATTTAATCAATCTGGTTAGATTTTTTACATCCCAAAACTGCATTGTATGTTTCTATTTCACATTTTTACAGAATAACACGACAGTTTGTTTAATTGAATGAAGATATTGGTATATATATTATAATTTTATTGCAATTGTTAGTTTTAAAAAATAATATATCGTTTTATATTATTTATAAACAAATTAATTTATTTTGTTTTAAAAATGTACAAACATATAAAAAAAAATCAAAAAAATCCAAAAAGGGCGTTTTTTTATTTCAGTTATCATGGTTAACAAGTTAAATCAAATTGCTGGTAGTAAAATTCTAGACGAGAAAAATAGAGATGCGTGGTGTAAACAGACATTATCTTAGTTCAATTGAATTAAAATAAAATGGAAAGAACGTGGTGAACCCGTATTGTTAAATCCAAAACAACAAAATCTGAATTGGAATCAATGCTATAATTATTTGTTGTATTTTTCCAAAATAAAGTAACCGCGCTTTGGTTTAACTTTAGACGTTGTTTCTTAGCACTCGTACTATAAAAACTGTAAATTTTCAAATCCAACACATCAAACAATGGAAGTGTACGCCAACTACCAAAAGATGACTCATCAAAAGACTAAAACAGTCCGTTCGTGGACATTGAAAGAGGATTCATTGCTTGTTGAAGCAGTAAATCAGTTTGGGAAAAACAACTGGAGAAGTGTAGAAGAGGTTGTTATGACACGAACACGAAAACAGTGCAGAGAACGCTATTTGAATCATCTGGACGACTCTGTAGAGAAGCGTGCTTGGACACAAGAAGAAGACGATATTATAATGAAAAGAAGAACAGCAATAGGAAACAAGTGGACAAGAATAGCTCAAGAGTTGAAGGGAAGAAGTCCAAATGCAGTCAAAAACAGATTCTTTGGGCACTTGAATAAATTCCACAAAACCAATCAAAGAAATGAAACAATCAGTGAGACAACCACATTCGAATTGTCACCGAGAAACTTGTCTGCTTTTTCGGTGGTAGAAAGAAGTCTTTATTATGTCTATTAGGATTTGTATAAATGAATGTGATTGTATATCTTGACTCTTTTGTTGTTGATTATATATCATAATTAATAAAATAATTTACATTGAAATTATGAAAAATGAATTATTTGCATTTAACAATAAGTTAGTGACACGTGTAGAAGAGTTAGCTATTATATGTAAATTACAAACCGAAACAACTATGAATAATTTGAAAATGCAATTACTGATGTTTTGTAATTTTATTGAATTAATAAAAACTATTATTTTAATTGTTTTTGAATTTTTTTTTCATGATTTAAAAATTAAAAAACAACAATTTT